TTCACGTAATGGACTAAGATTTCTTGCTTTTCGTTTCTGCTAATGGCCTCTCTCCTGAAGCACTGGCGGCGCTGGCCCATCACAGGCAGATCAAACCTCGGCTTGCAAGCAGGGCAGGAGCCAGATCAGCTGGGAGTGGGCTGTTCGGAACGTCGAACGTGTTGGGTTCGCGGCCTCGCCTGCCCAGTGCTCCGCCGCCCCTACGGTCCCACAGGTGGGTGTTTGGGGGCAGGGTTCTCTGTGGCCCAGGAGGGGGAGTCACCAACTGCTCCTTTGCATGTTGTCTTGATTCTGAGCCCAATTTAAAGATGACTCATTTGCATCTTGCCATCTCCCTTTTGGCATCCAGGTCTCAGCACCCAGTCCCCCCGAGAGCAGCCCCCTCCCCCATCCGTCTTAACCTCCTCCCCCGAGGCACTTCAGCACCTCAAGTTACCAGATTCAGAATCTGCACACTCATCAGTGGACCCGTCAGGCTCCTCTCTGCATCCTGCTTCCAGAACGCTGGCAGCCTTACTCAATGACTTTTCCTTGAAAAAAGGCCACGGCCCCAGACACGAAACTTCCAGTTACAGTAATAAGCCTGGAATTATTTTAAGAAAACCTGCTTGAGAAGTTATCTCAAGCACCAAAGAGCGATGCCTTAGTACTCTTGATTTGAAACTCTTAGAGCAGGCAAAACATGGAGGCCGTATTATCGAAGAACAGGTTCAGGCAAGGGGGGATATGGGCACTGTGGTCAAAGAATGAATTTGAAATTTCAAGATCCTGAAGGAGAACAAATAAGATGAGAGGCTTAGATGACTGCCTTAGTGCTCTGGTGCTGCCATTACAGAAATACCAAAAGTGGATGGCTTTAACAGACACAAATTTATTCTCCCAGTTTATTCTCTCCAAATTCAGAGTGCCAACTCTAGGGGCAAGTTTGTTCTCTCTGCGCCTCCAGGTCCTAGGAGGTTCCCAGTACAGGGACCCTGGGTCCATAGAACACCCCCCCCCCTTTTTTTTTGGTGGAAATAAGTCCCTCTTTCGTCTCTGTTGGTGTCTCCTTTTATCTCTTGTAAGATCAAAGGGGTTGCAGGCCACACCCCAGGGATACTCCTCTGCACAGGATCAGGGCTGTGACAGGATTAAAGGTGGATTCCACCCTAATCCTTTTACGCCTGGTTGGCTTATCACATCAGATCTGATCACGGATGGGGAACATGTAATTACATAACTGCCAAACCACTGAGAATCATGGCCCAGCCAAGGTGACACATATTTTTGGGGACACAATTCAATCCATGACAATGATCTTTGGAGTTGAAAAGATTGAACATCTACACAATTATGAGGAACCTGTACATACATCAGGAGGCTGTATTTGAACAGAACAACGGGATACTCCATGGTTCAAAATCAAGAAGGGAGTGTGTCAGGGTTGTATTCTTTCACCATACTTATTCAATCTGTATGCTGAGCAAACAATCCGAGAAGCTGGATTATATGAAGAAGAATGTGGCATCAGGATTGGAGGAAGACTCATTAACAACCTGCGATACGCAGATGACACAACTTTGCTTGCTGAAAGTGAGGATGACTTGAAGCACTTACTGATGAAGATTAAAGACTACAGTCTGCAGTATGGATTACACCTCAATGTAAAGAAAACAAAAATCCTCACAACTGGTCCAATAAATAGCTTCACGGTGAATGGAGAAATGATTGAAGTTGTCAAGGATTTCATATTACTTGGTTCCACAATCAACACCGGGAGCTCTGGTGGTGTAGTGCCTAAGGTATTTGACTGCTCACCAGAAGGCTCATAGTTCAAACCCACAAGCCACTCCTCAGAAGGAAGGTTGGGCAATCTACTTCCATAGTGCTACTGCCTCGGAAACCCAAGGAGGGGTTGCTATGAGTTGACTCTGACTCCACAGCAGTGTGTTTTGTGTACAATCAACACCAGTGGAAGCAGCAGTCAGGACATTGGACAACGTAGTACACTGAGCAAATCTGCTGCAAAAGACCTTTTTCAAGTGCTGAAGATCAAAGATGTCTCCTTGAAGACTAAGGTGCGCCTAACCCAAGCCATGGTATTTTCAATCACCTCTTATGAGTGTGAGAGCTGGACAATGAATAAGGAAGATCGAAGAAGAGTTAATGCTTTTGAGTTGTGGTGCTGGAGAAGAATGTTAAGAGTACCATGGTCTGCTAAAAAGACTAACAGATCTGTCCTGGAAGAAGTGCAGACAGAATGCTCCTTGGAAGTGGGAATGGCCAGACTTCATCTCACCTAGTTTGGTCATGTTGTCAGAGGGAACCATTTCTTGGAGAAGGATGTCATGCTTGGTAAAGTGGAGCATCAGCAAAGAAGGGGAAGGCCCTCAACGAGATGGACTGACACAGTGGCTGCGATGATGGGCTCAGGTACAGCAGGGATCGTGAGGCTGGCACAGGACCAGGCAGTGTTTTGTTCTGCTGTATGTGGGGTTGCTATGAGTCGGAGACGACTCGATGGCACATAACAACAACAACAACAAGGAGAGTCAACAAAGCGCCAGGGTGGAGAAGACAATAGTAAGACAAATGCTGAAATCATCAAGAAAAGTGTAAAGGAGTTAGGATGAGGAAAAATCAGAGTATGGTAAAATGGCCTGGACTTCAACCAAGGTTGCTTTGTAGTCACAGGACAATGGCTTGGAAATGACAATCTGGGGACTTCAGAGAACCCTGGAGGAAAGACGGTGGGAAGAAGTGGTGTCCAAGGAGAAAAGCCAAACACTTAAGGCAAATTCTTAAAAAAGAAGTCAGTGGTGAAGGCCATGGTTTGAGGAAGGTTTATAATCCAATAGGGCTTCCCCAGAGTCCTTTGCAGGGAGCTGCTATGATTTCTCAGGGGTGGAGAGCATGGGGCAAATCTAGGGGAGAAAGAACTCAGCCGGATGAGGGGATGGGCATGGGTGCGGGAGCTTGTTTGGAGGCAACTAGAGCCCCAAGCCCTAGCTGAGTAGGCTGTGACTCTAAACAGCCCATTAGTGACAGAACCAAACACTGCCCCGCCCTGCGACATCCTCACAATCCTTGCCATTCCTGAGTCCATGCCACTGTGTCAACCCATCTTGTTGAGGGTCTTCTCCGTTTTTGCTGACCCTCTACTTTATCAAGCATGAAATACTTCTCCAGGGACTGGACCCTTCTCACATGACCAAAGTGAGTTCGACAAGAGAATGGCCCCACCCTTCTTCCCAGCCTGTCTCAGTCTGGAAGTTCCCCTGAAACCTGTCCAGCCACGGTGACCCTGCTGGTATTTGAAACACCGGGGACATAGCCTCCAGCCTCCCAGAAACGTACAGCCACCACAGTCCTACAAACTGAGAAGAGTGGCGGGCTGATAGGTAGCAATTTGTAATTGGAAGTACTCAGCGGCATTAACCAGCCTAATCGTCTATCCTGCCCCAAAGGCTGATGGGCTGGGACGCATGCACTTTGATACACGCAACTTCCCAGGGCTGGAGGCGGTTTTAGGGACCAGAGCCCTGCTATCGCATTTCCCGATGAGAACAGAGAGGCCCCGAGTTTAAAAGGTCATTCGGCATCTTTTCTACTTCACGGCTGTGTCTACCCACTCTCTGCACCCTCAGCAGCTGTGAGACACCAAGCGACGCATCCCCGGGTGGAACTGAAAACCCTGTAACATCAAGCTCATTGCCGCGGCCGCCGCCTCGGTGCTGCCCCCGACGCCGTGCTCCACCTGCGCGTCCCGTTTCCCCTGTGCCCCGGCCGCAGATACCCGCTCTAGCCAAATAAAGAAGGGAAAGTCCCGCGGCTGACGTCACACAGGGAGCACACGCCAGGAGGTGCGTCACCCCGCGGCGACGGCCGGCTTTTTTTGGACCCGGCGGGTGAAATTAGTCACGCCGAGCGTGCTTCTCAAGCATACGGGCCACAGAGCACGTTCACCAATATGTAAACCTGGCGAGGCCCGGCCCGACAGGGAACCGCCGCCACACGATGCTGCTCCGCCCACCCACTGCCATCTAGTTGATTAGCGATCCTGTAGGGTGGAGTAGAACTCCCTATAGGCTTCCAAAGTTGTAATCTTTATGGAAACAGAAGGCCACATCTTTCTCCCGCCCAGAGGCTGGTGGGTTTGAACCGCTGACGTTTTGGTTAGCAGCCCAGAGCTTAAGCACATTGCCACCAGGGTTCCTCTGTCTCGCCCCACCTTTCCCGAAATCTGCCCAGCCCCAGGGCGCCCTTGAATTTGGGCCGCGGCGCCCGTGCCCTGGCGAGAGGAGAAGAGGCGTCGGCTAGGGCGGATTTCGGCGCCTCGTCGCCCCCTCGCGATCCCCAACGGGACACAGGCCACGGCCGCCTCCTGGCTTCGGGGTCTGCACTCGTCCAGCACGCCTTGCGCGCAGGGGCGTGGCGCGGACGTTGCGTGATGGGGCGGGGCAGGGCGTGACGCGCACGCGCTTAGGGGCGTCTGCGGCAGGCAGGCGGGCGGGCGGTTTTGGGGCTTGTGAGACTAAGGCCATCGATTAGGGCTGCCCTGGTTCTCCTGGGCCCTACAGGCCGGTGGTGGAGAAGGCGACGGTCGCTGTCCGTTCTAGGAGGCGAGCTGCGGTGGGGACGCAGTGGTATTTCAGGCGAGTCCTGGCTTTTTAGGACGCTCTGCTCTGCTCCCCTGGGAGGCGAGGCGAGGCGAGAGCCTGTGGGGGGAGCCCCACTCCACCCTCAACCCGCGGCATGCTCGCTTCTGCTGGGTCTGAGGCCGACGAGCGAGTTTCTGAAGGCAGCCAGCTAGAGTGACCAAGGCCTCCTGGTTTCCCCGAGAATGTTCTGGTTTTAACACTGAAGCGTCCTTGGCCTCGGGCCTGCTGAAGTGACCCTGTCTACCCCCTGCCCATCTTCCCCCCGGGCTCCACCCAGAGCCTGGGAAGCCGGGGACGGCCGCCTGACCTTCCACGCTGTCTTTGTATTAGGGTGAAGGCACCCTGCACACCTACGGTCAGGCCCAGACATGCCAGTCCTTGCAAGGTGAAACCTTCAATGGGAGCCTTGTTTTCGAAAGGTAGGTAGCATACGAGAGGACACAGCCTCCTTTATAGTTTGTCCTGTAGGGAGAAGGCATAGGCAGGCACCAAGCTGTGTAGACAGGACGATTCTGTTTGTATCAGAACCTTGACTACAGAGAGCACCCAAAAACCAAAACTACAAACCCCACTGCCGCCAAGTCCCTTCTGCCTCAGCTCTGGAATTCCTGCCATGTCCTTGAATCGTAGGATTCATTTGTGCAGTCAGAATAGCCATTATCTTAACTTTTTCCATCAGCTGCCTGTCTTTAAACCAGAAAATGTAGATAAGGAGTATGACCGGATCCAGACTGAGATGTTCAAGTTTTTCCTTTTCTAACTCAGAAAACCTCGTGGTGGAACAGCTGTTTGACCCATTCAAAGGGAAGGGTGGAAGTTCTGGGCAGGAAAACTGCGTGAATGGAAGAAGCGTGTCATTGTGCGTGTGGCTTTTGTCACCTGACACCTTCCCCAATTGACATGACTTGGAGGCATTACACTTCACTGGTTGTGCTCTATCCTGTCAGCCTGCAGTTCAAGTACCGAAATGTCAGAACTTACCTTAGTTCTTTTTTTGTTTGTTATTGAGCATCTTTGAGCCACACTGAAAAGGATGAGTAGTTTTCTTGTAGCCCGGATGTATCAGTTCATCATATCATTATTGTTACCCATATGACAGAGGGAAATTGGTGAGCAGGTCATGCTGTTATGGTCACCACTGGTTTTTATTGTGGGAGCAAGTTCCATGTCAAATGGAGGAATGAATGTCGTGATTTTATTTTTACTTTCTCAGGCACCCTTCCCAAGAAATTGATTGGAAATAGGGAAACCAAACCACATTAGCAATCAGTCATTCACTCTCTGTTCCAGGGATAAATTAGAAGTTTATGTGGAGGGCAGGTAGATTAAAGTTACTTCGTGCTTGACTGTAATGCTAAAGGGTGGCAGCGTTGATGAGTGCATCAGTGCTGTGGGAGAAAGGCCTGGTAATCTGCTTCTGGAAGGACTGCAGCCAAGAGATCACTGTGGAGCAGTCCTATTCTGAACACGAGGTCACCTTGAGTGACTGTCAACAGCAGCGGGTTTGCTTTTTCGGTTTGATGGAGGGCAGGTAGCTTAGAGACACCTGTATGAATGTGGATACTTGTTTTGTATTTGTCTTTGTGTCTCTTTCGTAGATGCAAACCGTCAGGCACTCTGAACAGACACTGAAAACAGCTCTCATTTCAAAGACCCCAGTGCTTGTGTCGCAGTATGAGAACTTCAATGCTGGGGAACAGCGTTTGATGAACGAAGCCTTTCAACCAAACAGTGATCTCTTTGGACCCATTACCTTGCATTCGGAATCAGACTGGATTACCTCCCATCCTGAGACCCCACAAGACTTTGAACAGTTCTACAATGATCCTAAAAGAAAGATACCGTCTCCAGACAAATGCACTATCTATATACAGGCTATTGGTACATATTGGCAGTATACTGATTTTGGTTTGGTTTTGCAATGGTGGTGTTGAGGAGAATTTGGGTTGTTGGTCTGACTTAAGTGTACAGATTTTTTGTTCTTATATAACTACACTGTATGATCATTTTTTGACATTCACTGCAGTGATAGGTGTCGTAGCTAAACTGACTTTAAAGAGTATATTTTGTTTCTTTTTAATTCATAGTAACAATGAATTATGTTATTCATTGATGATATGATAAGGGTATATTGAAAAGTTAGAGTTGGTTTTATGTCTAATTCATAGAGTAAGGTACAAAGACTGAATATTTTAATCATCTTAAAGTCTGTTTTAAAATTGTCTTTGATATTATAGGATCTCTAGGGAACACCCGAATTATCAGTGAAGAATATATTAAATGGCTTAAGGGCTACTGTGAAGCATTTTTCTATGGCTTGAGAGTAAAACTCCTAGAACCCATTCCTGTTTCTGCCACAAGATGTTCCTTCAGAGTCAATGATAACACACAAAACCTACAAATCCATGCTGGTGAGCTCACAATTTTACAATTGGAATTGAGTAAAAGAAATACGTATGTATTAGAAAAATGTGTACGCATATATATATGTATGTTGTTGTTGTTGTTATGTGCCGTCGAGTTGGACCCGACTCATAGTGACCCCTCCTTGGGTTTTCGAGGCAGTATCACTATGGAAGTAGATTGCCCCATCTTCCTTCTGAGGAGTGGCTGATGGGTTTGAACCGCCAGCCTTCTAGTTAGCAGTCAAGTGCCTTAGGCACTATGCTACAGAGCTCCCATACATATGTATACATACATATAAATGTGCACACACCTATAGACACCTATATACACACACACACACGTGTGTGCATATACATATATATGTGTGTGTGTGTGTATATACACGTGTGTATATATATATATATATACGTGTGTGTGTATATATATATAGGAGCTCTAGCGATGGCAAACAACATATGTATATATATATACATGTGTATATATATATACGTGTGTATACATATACATATACATACATATATACATATACATATACATATACATATACACATATACATATACATATACATATACATATACATATATATATATATATATGGGAGCTCTGGTAGCATAGTGGCTACGGCACTTGACTGCTAACCAGAAGGCTGGCGGTTTCAAATCCACCAGCCACTCCTCGGAAGGAAGATGGGGCAATCTACTTCCGTAGTGATACTGCCTCGGAAACCCAAGTAGGGGTCGCTATGAGTCGGGTCCGACTCGACGGCAAACAACAACAACAACAATATATATTTATATATATTTATATATATAGATAGATAGATAGATAGACACACACACACAAATACATTTCTTTTCTAACAGGGGACATCTTGAAGTTCTTAAAAAGGAAGAAACCAGGAAATGCCTTCTGTGTTGTGGGGATAACGATGATTGATCTTTACCCAAGAGACTCCTGGAATTTTGTCTTTGGGCAAGCCTCTTTGACAGATGGTATTTTTTTAACAACAATATTTTTTTGTGTTTTTGATGAAAGTTTGTACAGTAAATTCGACAGTTTCTTTACAAATTGTTCAGTGACATTAGTTACATTCTTTACAATGTGTCTTCATTCTCTTTCATTGCATTCTCGTTGTTTGGTTTTTAGTGTTCTAGTTTCCCTGCCGTCTTATTTTCTCATCTTTGTTTTAGAGCAGTTGTTGACCTTTTGGTCTCATATAAAACCTAACCAAACTTACTGCCACTGAGTTGATTCTTCAGGATTTCCAAGGCTGTAAATCTTATGGATGGAGACTATCTCATCTTTCTCCCATGGAACAGCTGGTAGGTTCAAACCATTGACCTTTTGGTTAGCAGCCGAGTGCTTTAACCATTGTTCTACCAGAGTTCCTTTTTTAGATGGTTTTTTAAATGGAGCACTATACTCACAGGTATACTCACTATACTTTCCCCTTTACTTTTGTGCCAAACAGTTATTTTGCTAGATGACCTCAGGGTCACATACATATGTGACTATACACTTGTTTTTTGGTTATTGATGGTGAGATGGTATTTCTTTTTGACATTGTTGGTAGAAACGTTCTCAACTTGAACATATTTGAAAATGTTAAGAGGGAAAAAATTCCAACAACTATAAACTTGGTACTTAAAACTGGGTAGTATTTTTAGTGTGGTATCATGTTGTCATGGGAAGTGCACATTTGGTAGATTCTGATGATCTGGGTTTCTCTCTAGGTTGGCCCTTTGCTACGTACATGACCTTGAAGATAATATCTATCTCACAGAGCCATTTGAGATAACTTACACAGAAATGCCTGACAGTAGGCCAGGCACATACATAAGCATTCAGTACAACAGATGCTGAATGTAAGTCATTTAGTAGCAAGGTGAATTAAATCAGAGGTATTTGAACTATCATTAGCTTAAGTGAAAACCTGCCTAATTAAACTCTTGATGTTTTATAATCATTTTGCATCGATGAAATAGCCACTGACTGATTTATAAATTAGTGTCATCCTGTGCCTTATGACATAGATTTGGTAACCTAAAGAAGCCACTTTCAGCCTTTAATCTAGGACACAATGACCTTTGATTAGAACCCTGTGTGGTAATATTGGAGGTGGGAAAGGAGCTATAAGCAAATTATATTTCTACCTTTTTTTACTCCTTCTCTTCATCTCCCCCTTCTCCCCCTCTCCATTTTCACTCCTCCTTCTCTATCCTCATCCTCTTGGATCTAGGACAGTCTCAAAGGGGAAGAGACCAGTGAATTAAGAGTTGTGCACTAGCTTTTTAAGAAGCCTTGGTGGCACAGTGGATAAGCTGTTGGCTGCTAACAGAAAGGTTGAGGGTTTTACCCCCACCCCCCAGCAGCTCTATGGGAAAAAAGACCTGGTGATTTGCTCTGCTCTTGTAAAGATGATAGCCTAGGAAGCCCGATGGGGCAGTTCTGCTCAGTCATAGGGCTGCTGTGGGTTGGCATGGACTGGGTTGGCACACAACAACAGCCTCCTGGGGGTAGGGAGTAAGTAGCAGAGATTGTGCGGAGAATTTACGTTCGGTCTGGATGTGCATTAGCCTAAGGGTTTGGGTGGGCATTGGGGGAGCTCTCTGACAGATGTGTGTTTCTAGTGGATGTCTTCCTTTCTTAGCCACTAGTGGGGCTGGGGAAGTACCAGGCCTCTTCTTCCCACCTACTCCTTTATGTTCGGTTCTCCATTTAGATATAGTCGGTATAGATCCTGTCGGCACGTCCCCTGCGACCTGGGTCCCTGCTGTCAGTGAGTTCTGTGGTGTGAGCCAGCTTTTCACCAGCAGCTTCCCCCTTGATTATTAACCTCGTAGAGATGGAGACATGGAAGATAATCGTAAAACAATACATTAATCTATCCAGATAGTTGACAAGTTACGCATTGGAGTAGATGGGGAAACGTTCCTCAGAGCTGGTTCTGCTTTCATCCTTTTTCATCCCTTTTTAAAATAAGTGCTTAAATATTGCATGCCATTAAAAAAAAGATGTCAGAAAGCAGGATTGATCTGCCACACAGGAAGACAGGCTCTTACAATATGTGACCCCATTTTCTCCGTGTTTACATAGGTTGGCATTTTCAAGTTATGAAATATTTAATCTCTAGAGAAAATCATCTTCTGTTTGTAGCATCATTAGAAGAAGAAAGCGCTTTGCCTGAGGTGCCGTAGGCTCTGTTCATCCTTGTTTGCTGGAGGAGGTCACTTGTGACACCTGAGTAGACTGAGCCTTTTCTTCCTCCCAGAGTGCTGTCTCTCCCTCAGTTTCAGTATCGGTCGACACTTTCTGAGGGAGCACTGAGGAACGCTCTTTTTGGGTCAAGGTGGCTTCAACAGGCTTACTCTGAGTTCATTTGTACCAAATTTCCTTACTGAAAAAAAGTGCTTTGATTACTTTCAAATAACAACTGACAGCAAGACTAAATAGAAGTGATCATATAAACAAGCCGAGTCTTAGATCAGTCCCTTGTACTGTGGAGGGAGTTGTGGCATCAGGTTCTGTTCTCCTTGTATGCAAAGCTGGTTGAAAGTGCTCTAAATGTAACACAGGAAGTCAGTTACAGGGGTGTGTATTCTGGTCACTAGATACCAGGTACAGAATAGAGTTGAGCTTAAAAGGGGGGTGGAGGTGGGGAGAGGGGAAGAGGTTCTCGTGCCAAAGGCCTTTATAAAACCAGAGCAGAAAAGCTGCTTGTGAGCTGGGCAGTATCACCTGTTTCCAAGCATCTCCATCGTAAGACAGAATGAAATGGAGCAATGTGTTGGCTCCTTTATATGTTGACACATGGGATTCCTAGTCTTGTCTTAAAGTAGTGTTTAACTGGGGAGGTAGCTGTTAGGTTCATTCAGCATTGCTCAGCAAGCTTTGAGAGTTATCAATAAGAAACAAACAACAAACCCATTGCCTTGGAGGTGATTCCAGTGCATAGTGATCCTACAGGATGGAGTAGAACTGCCCCACGGGGTTTCCAGGGCTGTAATCTTACAGAAGCAGACTGCCACCTCTTTCTTCTGCAGAGCGGATGGTTGGTTTAAGCTGCTGACCTTTAGGATAGCAACTGAGTGCTTATCCTCTGCCACCAGGGATCCTTAGCTGACTTCCCAATCCACTGATGAGTCCGTTTGAAAAACACTGCTCCAGAAGATAAAGCTGTAAGTCTTTTGTATACAACATAGTGCTTGGCACATAGAAGACAATGGTATATAGAAACCAAATCTAATAAGTGTATTTGTATATATGAGACACAGCTAAAATTTATAATTAAAAGCTGTGATATAAATGATCTTTATTGATAGTCTTTCTAGACTAGTTGTCAAAGATTTTGTATCACTTTGTTCCACAATCAACCAACACCAATGGAAGCAACAGTCAAGAAATCAGACGATATATTGCACTGGGCAGATCTGCTGCAAAAGATGTCTTTAAGGTACTGAAGAGCAAGGATGTGTCTTTGAAGACTAAGGTGCAACTAACCCAAGCAATGGTGTTTTCACTCACCTCATATGCATGTGAAAGCTGGACAATGAATAAGGAAGACCGAATAAGAGTTGATATTTAGAATTGTGGCATTGGTGAAGAATACTGAAAGTTCCATGGACAGCCAGAAGAACTAACAAATCTGTCCTAAAAGAAGTGCAGCTAGAATACTCCTTGGAAGTGAATGGCCAGACTTCACGTTACCTACTCTGGTCATGTTGTCAGAAGGGACCATTCCCTGGAGAAGGATGTCATGCTTGGTAAAGTGGAGGGTCAGCGAAAAAGGGGAAGGTCCTCAGTGAGATGGACTGACACAGTGGCTGCACCGATGGGCTCAGGTGTAGCAGGGATTGTGAGGCTGGCACAGGACCCGGCAGTGTTTTGTTCTGTTGTACACAGGGTCGCTATGAATTAGAGCTGACTTGAAGACACTATAGTAACAATAACAAGGACAACGACTACAGCAGGTTTTTCCACACTGACCTGTTAGTGGACGGAAATTCAGCTAGGCAATCACAACCAGTAATTCAAAAATGAAATAGAGTGTGTGTCAAAACATGTAGGTGTACGTAAGAATGTAAAGCTATAGAGAGAAAGACTGTTATTCAGATAGATTTATAGATTTATATTCTTCTGTAGAGGGTACATAGATCTGAAAAAAAAGACTAACAAAACAATATTTAACGTGGTAGTGTAATGCCTAAGCCATTTGACTGCTAACCAGAAGGCTGGTGGTTCAAATCCACTAGCCACTCCTCGGAAGGTTACTTCTATAATGATACCGCCTCAGAAACCCAAGGACAGGTTGCTGTGCGTTGGATCTGACGGGATGGCAGTGAGTTTGGTTTTTGAAATGTGTAATTAACTAATATTTTCTAGTTTTTTTTTCTTTACTAGTATTTTCTAATTGAGTTAATTTTTTAAACATCTTCTACATTGATTTTGTGACCCACTTAAACTACCACATGCCTTATGAAAATCAGCACTCCCCTCTAGTTTCTTGATGTATAGTGTGAAGAGTTCTAGCATCAGAATATGAGAAATGTGTTAAAAATGGAGATTCTGGGCCTACCTCAGAACTACCTTCATCAGAAACTGTGGAGATGGATACCTGCATCTCATCATAATTACTTGAGGGAATTTGTTTAAGATGCAGAAGGAACCAGAAGTTGTGAGGCTGGACCCAGAAGGATGCACACTAGATAATCTTGGTCACTAAAGCTTGAGAACCATTGCTGTTGAGGTTGGTAAAGCTCCATGAGCTGACCATTAATTCAGTGATAAGTTAACATTGAAGGTGACATTCCTAGAAAACTCATTTAGTAGATTTTCTTCATGGGGAGCTCTGGTGGTGTAGTGCTTAAGACATTTTGCTAACCAGAAGGCTGGTAGTTCAAACCCATCAGCCACTCCTTGGAAGGAAGACTGGGCAATCTACTTCTGTAGAGATTCCGCCTTAGAAACCCAAGGAGGGGTCGCTATAAGTCAGAAATGATTCGATGGCAGTGAGTTTGGTTTTTTTGGTTTCGTGATCATACATATGTGTAGAATTAACCCCTTTATGTTACAAAAATAATAGAACAACATGATGAGGGAATCTCCAAATTGGTTTTAACTAGAGGTAGTGTAGTCTACATTTATAAGTGATTATGCTTTGTTTTTATTTCTTAAAGTCTGAAGCCATACCATGTATCTAAGTGTATGGATTGTGTTACATGTGAAAAGAGTATACTCTCTCTTTCCCCTCCCACTTTTCATTTGGAGTGGACTTAGTTGTAACACTTTGTTGTGGCAATACTATAACACTTTGTTGTGGCAATACTATAGCTAAGTTAGACTTCCTGGACTTGACCATTTACACCCTCCATGACCTTGGGCTCTACCATTTGCACCCTACGTGACTCTAGGCAAGTTTCTCATCCTCAATTTATTCATTCTCAAAACAGGGTAGTACCAATCTCACAGGGTTGCTGTGATGATTAAGATAATGTACGTAAGGTAGCATACTTTGTCTTTGGTACTTGGTAAAAGTCTGTTACAGGCTAGCTATTACTATTACTAGTAATAAAGAAAAATGGAGGGTTATTGCTTGGGAGCTCTGGTGGCGTAGTGCCTAAGGCATTTGACTGCTAACCAGAGGCTGACAGTTTAAACCCACCAGCCACTCCTCAGAAGGAAGACTGGGCAATCTACTTCCATAGAGATATTGCCTTGGAAACCCAAGGAGGGGTCACTGTGAATCAGAAACTAGCTCTTCATAGTTTGATTTGAATTTGGTCCTCCTAGTTTTATCTTCCCACCCACTCCACCTTACCTAGAAAATTATTTTTTCTGGTCCTTGGTTCAAATTTCTAAAACAATTTGATTGGCCCAGCTCATCTTTTTAAAAAATCAGCCATATAACTTATAGTTCATTGGTCAACATATAGATTGGTTGCCTTGGGATCAAATACCCATGCCAGTCTGGTCAGCTGTGGCTAAGGAGTGGACTGGGTCACATGGCCCAAAACATCATATGCAAGACATCAGGGACAGTAGGCAGGCAGTCTTCCTCATTGACACTGTGTGAGGGAGGGTCAGGAGCCCTCACGGGTGCACAGGAAGCTGATATCTGCTTACTGTATTCTTACGGAATAGAATCATGACTGCGTGTTGTTTGTGTGATTATTTCCCATTGCTCCTTTTGGACCACTTGGTTTGGACTATTTGAGAAAAAAATTCTTTTGTGGGGGAGAAAACAAAACAAACAAAAACCCAACTCTCTGCAACTTGTAGTTTCTGAAGAATTTGACCTCAAGTTCATTGAGTGCTACAGGCCAGGGCATATGGCAAGAGGAAAAAGGAGAAGATTGGATAGGCCTACGTGGAGCAGAAGTCCTTCTTTACGTTGGCACCCCTGAAGCGTGGTAGACAGTGAACACAGTAGCACAGATGTGTCCTTGCTGACCAGAAGCTCTAACAGGCCTTCTGTCTTTTCCTTCAGAAATGCTGTTCTCATTCTCTTGTTGCTTGTCCTGTTTTTGTAGGTGTGGGGATATTCAGCTTTGCCAGGTATGGCAGTGATTTTTATAGCTCACACTATGAGGGCAAAGTGAGGAAGCTGGAGAGACCATCTTCAAGTGAATACTCAGTCTTTGATAACTATTACATTCCTGAAATCACAAGTATATTTCTGCTTCGATCCTGTAAGGTGAGTTGTTTAAAAAAATCCACAGACCTTAATTCCCTACATTGTGTGTAATATATACATATAACATACATCCTTGAGATAATATTATAAATGAGTTTAATTATTTGCATACTTCTGATGGATATTGCTCAACTGAAATCATAAAAATAGAATTCAAAGAAATACCTGACTGTTGGAATTTATAATGTCCATGCCAGGTTTTTGTCCTGTTAGTTACACGTGGCCTCTGCTCTACCTACAGCCTCACCATTATTTTATCTCCAGAATTCTAGCACAAGTAGGTAGCCTGCTCTTTAAGCTGCATGATGGTCATGGTGGGTGGTTCTTGGTGATAAGATGCCCAGAAGTAGTCATGGAAATGATTACATGCGTAGGGAGCTTGGGGTCATAGACTCAATAAAGGTGAATTTTGTTTTCTTTTCAGTCTTATAATAAATGTTATATGTCTTATTTTAATTCTTAACTTAATTTAGAATATTGTTAGTTGATTTCTCTTTTATGACAATGAAAACTCATTACCCAGTTTCCAAACTCAGATATGTCAGAGAGAATTTCACATTCTGGAATACTGGGTGATTTTAATTTATTTAGAAAAACTTTAAATTAATCAAAGTGATAGAAGCTCTTTAAGATTTTTCCTTCTGGGCTATGTTAACTCATCATTATATAATTAGTGTAGAATTAAATGCTTTTGACACAGTAGTCTTTTGTTTTGATAGTTTGTGTCGATTTTATCTTCTACACTAGGGGTTGGCACACTATTCCAGTAAAGGGCCAGGTAGGAATATTCTAGGCTCTGTAGGCTATTGGCCTCCGTCGCAACTACTCAGCTCTGCTGTGGCAGCATGAAAGTAGCCATAGGCAATATTGAAAGGAATAAACACAGCTATGCTTTAATAAAACTTTATTTATGAACACTAAAATTTGAATTTAAAAAAATTTTCACATGTCATAAAACGTTATCCTTCTGATATCTTTTAAACATTTAAAAATTTATTCTTAGTTCATGGGCCATACAAAATTGGTGGTGGCTGGATTGGCCTAGAGGCTATAGTTTGCTGACCACAGTTCTAAATAAATCAACTGTATCAGGCTCTGTGGTGATAGAAGTGAAGTAAAAGATGTATTTTCATCCTAAGGTATTTGCTTAAAGGAGATAGCAGTCAATAAGTGCTCGAAGAACAGTTAAAGGCAGATTCTATGGGAGTGATTATAAGTGCGTTTATTGAACACTTTTTTTTTTAAACCAGGCATTTTGTTAAGTGCTAGGGATATAAAAATGAATAAGATAGTCTAATAGAGGAGACAGATAAGTTAAGTACAAGAGGGTGACAAAAATGCAATCATTTATTGTTGTTAGATGCCATTGAGTCAGTTTCTGACTCGGCGACCATATGTACAACAGAATGAAACACTGCCCGGTGCTGTACCAGCCTCACAATTGTTGGTATTCTTGAGCCCATCATTGTAGCCACTGTGTCAGTTCATCTTGTTGAGGGTCTTCCTTTTTTTCACTGATCCTCTGCTTTACCAAGCAGGATGTCGTTTTTCAGGGATTGGTTCCTTTTGATAACATGACCAGAGTGTATGAGATGAAGTCTGGGCATTTGTGCTTCTAAGGAGCATTCCAGTGAGTCTTCTTCTAAGACAGATTTGTTTGTTCTCTGGCAGTCCATGGTATTTTCAATGTGATATAAAAAAACCCCACTGCCATCGAGTTGGATCTGACTCATAGCGACCCCTCTTTGGGTTTCCAAGGCAGTATCACTACGGAAGTAGATTGCCCAACCTTCCTTCCGAGGAGCGGCTAATGGGTTTGAACCTCCAGCCTTCTGGTTAGCAGTCAAATGCCTTAGCCAAGGAATAATGGGCTTCAAGGCAGGGATCCTGATAATTGGAAGATCAGGAAAGGCTTCATAGAGGGAGTGTTGTTTTGAGCCGAGTGTTGAAAGATGAGTAGACAAGAGGTAGAGCAAAGAAAATGTTCTTCCCAGCAGAGAAATGGCTGACACAGAGGTCAGCAGTGTTGTTTCTTCCTACTGGACCATGACCAACAACTTCTGCTTTCTTTTGCTCTCCCAGAAAACTCAGGCACTCACCTCTTGGGTGTCTTAGCAGTCTGGCTCCTACTGCTCCTGAGGGTTTGGGATCCAGTACTTCAGGATGATAACTACTTGCCTTAATTTCTTTAGTCTGTCTGCAAGACAACGACTGTCAGTTAATTCCAGGGCAGAAATTTGTTAGTGGAGATGGCAGGGAGTTTTGGGTGTGCGTTGTCCTCAAGGGGAAGGTGCATCAGCATCAGTGCAGGGAGCCCCCCTGGTGGCCCAGGAGTCTGCCACGATCATCATCCAGAGGCCTTTGGAGACCTGTCAGGCCCCTTAGGAGAATGGGCCTGCCTGGCTCCAGTTGACCTTCAAGATGACCTCTCAGACTGCCGCTTGATGGACAGTTTCTGAGCCTGCTCTTTAGAGAGCCCGTCTCCCCATTTTTCCCTTTCTCCAGCCTTTGACAGACTTTTCCTTCAGCCAGAGAAGCTCTGCTTTCACCAGTAGGATTTGTTGGGGTCTGAGAACAACTACTCTTAGAACGATGATTTCAAAGTGTGTCCCGTGGGCCCTTACATCAGTGTCACCTGCTGTGTTTGTTAAAAATACAGATTAAGCCCTCCCCAGAGCTACTGAATCAGCAATTCAGAATCTGAACTGTAACGAATACCACACTGGTCTAGAGCTGTAGTTCTCCACCAGGGGCTCCTGGTTTTCTTCCCTCTGCTTCTGAGGACATTCCCCTCTGTCTGGAGACATTTTTTGTTGTCACAGCTGGGGAGGGATCCTACTGGCATCTAGTGAGTAGAGGCCAGGGATGCAGCTAAACATTCTGTAATGCACAGGACAGCCCCTTACACCCTTACAACAAAAACTGACGCCACCCAGTGTGTCAGTGGTGCTGAGGCTGAGGAACCCAGAGAAGAGATGAAGGAGTTAAGTATAGGAAGCAAGGCATTCAGGGAAAGGAGGGGCTAAGGCTTTGATGGTTTCATCTGGGCAGGTTGACGTTTTGGTGATGATTCCTATAAACTGGTTTCTTGGAAAAGCAAGAATCTGTTGGGATGTGTAACTTGTGGTGGATACTGGCGGTGTATAAAGCCTCAATGTGAATGTCTTACAGACTTTGACCCATGAGATTGGCCACATCTTTGGACTGCGACACTGCCAGTGGCTCTCATGCCTGATGCAAGGCTCCAACCACTTGGAAGAAGCTGACAGGCGCCCTCCAAATCTTTGTCCCATCTGTTTACGCAAGTTGCAGTCCGCTATTGGCTTCAACATAGTAGAAAGATACAAAGTAAGTGGCGGGAAGGAGGTGGACTAGAGGAGGGAAGTGGTTGGCAAAGTACCATTTTCTATTAGGCCCTTTTCTAGAGCTGTCATTTATCAGAAGAAATTAGTGCAAAGATAAGCAGGAAACTGTGGTTAAGAAAAAAAAAAAAAAACATGCAAAGAAATAACCTTTTTACAAACTTCAGCTTGCCTACTACTGGTGCTTCACTCATATGGTACATGAGAAATGGTGGGAGACGGTCTCTGGCTCCCATCTGTTTAGGGCAAGAGGCTTTACTTGGAGGAACAGAATAAATACCAGTGCATCACAAAGTTGTTATTTAAACTATGCAATTGTGTGGAAGTGATTTATCTTCCCAAATATGGGACAGAAGGTCTGAAGTTCATTAGGAGGAAAGAATGATTTTCTCAAAGAAGGAAAAGGGAAAGTACCTGAGCTCAGTATGCGTATGCCCACATGTGCCCACAATTTGGAATTAAATTGTGTGTTTTTGGTATATGCTTTTTCACTCTGTGTATCATCAGAAGTATTGTTTCATATTTGTAACCATCTTTATCAACTGCAGCATCTTTGTAGTATAAGATAATCTGCTGGTTTAGATACCCTAATCTGGAAACCAGTCTTTTTCTCTTGCCTCAAACTGTTTTGTGGTGGTCTTTTAAATATGTCCATGTTCTGATTTTCCAGGCACTGCTGAGGTGGATTGATGGTGAATCTGCTGACTTACCCGGGATAATGCCAAAACACAGTCATGAGGGGGAAGTGAATTTGCCAGAACGTGTGGAAGCCTTTAAGGAATGGAAAGAGTGGATAATTAAATGCCTTGCTGTTCTCCAAAAATAAGGACCTTCAAATAGGAGTAATTGAAATAAAATACTCGCATATGATACTATCTTTTTGGTGGAGTACCTCATTGGAGTAAACTGAGTGCTTCCTGATAGTACACTGCCAGGGTCACTGAATAGTGCCTTCTTTAAAGCACCTGAACGTTGAAATGGGGTGCATTTAGAGTCATTAAAGCAATACGTGCTTGATCCTCTATCATAGTAGACTGGTCTGTGGCAGCCAGCACTTCATTTCCTTCTTCAAATATGTTTATGTCTCACAAGAGAATTGGACTAGCAGTCACTAGTAAGGGATTAAATACTTTAAAAATAGCTGTATGTGTCCCAGGGAAAGATTTCCAGCCAATATAATTTCCAGGGGGTGTATTTGGGTTCACTCTTTAGAGATATTCCCCCTCTGTTAGGCCCCACAGGTCACCTAGCGAACCTATGAACCTACATGGGCTCTGACCTCCAGTCACATCTCATCTCCTCTATTGGGACTGACTTCCCCACTCTCTGGGGTGCCTTACCTCTTTGTTTTCATCGCCAATTGTCAGCTTATCCCTGTGACAGTCAGTGGTAACCTTTTAAGGGGTAAGAACATCTGGTAATTCCCAGTTACAACAGAAATACTAGTCATTTATAATGTTACAGTGTCATTATAACATTAGTCAATGTTATAATGGTACTTAGGTTTGTGAGAGTTTTAACTTTTCATGTAGACTTAGAACAGGTTTTAGGCTTATGCCTATAATGTTTCTTGCTTCTGTGCATTGTGTTTATTTGAACGGGGTGGGGGGAGTGTGATAAGGTTACCTGGTGGAGGGTCAAGAGTGCCTTGGTGACGTGTCAGGCAGTAAACATTGTCCCAGCTGCCCCGAGGGGAAGCAGATTGAAAACCTCAGGCTTAGCAAACTGCATCTGCTGGGTCAGTGTGTCTTGTATACTGTTAGGTGCCATCCCGGCAGCTCTGACTCAGTGACCCTGGGTACAACAGAACTAAACACTGCCCAGTCCTGGTGATACCTGAGCCATCGCTGCAGCCACTGGGTCAGTCCATCTGGTCGAGGGTCTTCCTCTCTCTCACTCACCCTCTACTTGACTAAGCATGATGCCTTCTCCAGGGACTGGGCCCTTCTGACATGATCGAATAGGTGAGACAAAGTCTGGCCCTTCTCGCTTCCAAGGAGCATTTGACTGCACTTCTTCCAGGACGGATTTGTTTGCTCTGGTGTACAAAGCACGCTAGAAATCTAGAAATTAAGAGTCCACGAGTTTCCTGAATGCTGGTGAGCAGATTGCAGTCTCCATTCTCCCTTCTTACTGTGACATAATTATTTCCTTGGTATTAAAAGATTTTTTTTTTTTTTTTTTGGAACTTGGAAATCTAGATCCTTTTATTTTATTGTATTTATACAATGTGATTGGAAACACAGTTTATAACTGAATCAATCATCCATTAGATTCCCTTTCTTGCTTGATAAAACCTCTTTAAGTCATTTTAGGAAATGGTGGTTTGCCCTTAAAATTAATTGGAGAGAGAAGACTTGGTGGTTCTAATACTGAAAAGAGAACCTGACAAAGAATGGAGATTTACAGATTCTGTTACGGGTTTTAAGTCATCCTTGAATAACATCTAATTATTGCCCATTCTCATTCTAGACAATGTTTCTTTCATTTCCCTACAAGATAAGCACAATTGCAGTCTGGTAGGCCAGTGGTAGTCACACACCTAAAATAGATTGGCTAGGTGTGGAAGTTGGGGTTCAGGTATTTGGACAAAATAGTCCCTTTATGCCTGCTCTGCACCATGAGACCAGGAAAAACAAAAATAAAACAGCACCCCATTAAGCAACTCATGCACTCTTGTTGAATGTTGAACTAAACATGACATGAGAGTGGTGGGGTTCAATGGTAGAATTCTCCCAGTCCATGTGGGAGATGCAGGTTCGGTTCCCAGCCAATGCACTTCCTGTGTAGCCATCAACTATCGGTCAGTGGAGGCCTGCATGTTGTTCTGATCCTGATAGAAAGTCCTGGCAATCTACTTGGGAAAAGTCAGTCAAGGAAAAACCCTGTGTGTCCAGATGGTCTGATTCCCAGTGGATCATGGGGCTGGTGCAGGACCAGGGCCCATGAGTCAGGGGCTGACTGAATGGCAGCCAACAACAAATATGGTTTTATGTGGTAGGTGTTAGCCAGCAAGTACCACAAGTCATGACATGTAATCATTGTATTGAGTTTTGAACAGTTTTCTTAGGGTATAAGTCGGATAAAAAGAAAATTTGTCTACTGCAACCAAATTTATGTGCTATACCTAGGAGCTCTAGTGGCACAGTGGTTAAAGCATTCAGCTGCTAACCAAAAGGTTGGTCATTGGAACCTATTTGCCCTATGTGACAGAAAGATGAGTTAGTGTGTTTCCTTCAAGATTTACGGCTGGAAACCCTATGGGGGTCCCTGTGAGCCGGAATCAACTCCATGGCAGTGGGTTTGGTTTAAGAGCCTAACTTTTTAAACTATTTTAGAAATAATGTGAAAGCTGTTCATAAATGTCATAGGTCATGTTCCCTGGTGCCCATGACATTAGAAGTATCCCGCCAGTCAGAGGAAGGATCAAGCGTTAGCATTTCTGCTCATAAAGGCTTTTAAGGGTGAGAGAGAAGTTTGGCAAGGATTTGGTTTTGGGGTCCCGGGTGGTGCCACCACTAGCAGAAAAGGTGGTGGTGGAAGGCACCCCAGGCGCCTCGGAAGACAGGCCTGACGAACTGCTTCCCACCGGTCTCATAGCTTTGCAAACCCCGTGCCGCGCAGTTCTACTCTGGGCACACTTGGTGTCGCCAAGAGGCGGGATCGACTCCATGGCAACTAACAACAATGTCCATTGGTTCTCGTCCCTCGTGCTTTCTGAAGCCTACATTCCGGTCTCCCAGCCGAGCGCTCACTCGGAGCCGGCGGCCCAGACGCTCCCGCGCGCTGCGGCCTTCTCGGCAGGAAGCGGTTTCCTCCCGGCTCGGCCAGGCCCGCGGACGCCGCGGACGCGCAGGGGGCGCTGCCGGGCGTCGCCGCTTCCGGTCGCCCGGGGCTTCCCCTGCTGGCGAGCAGCGTGGGGCCGCCGGGGCCCCCCGGACGTCAGGGAGCTGCGGGAACACCTCCACCGCGCTGAGGCGCGCAGCGCTGTCGGGAAGCACAGACGGCGACGCCCGCAGAGCAGTGAGTGACACCGGGTCCGAGCAGCGCGCCTAACAAGGGCTTACTTCAGAGTTTAACTTTTGGCCACTTCCTAGGTCCTGGCTCTAGAGCAGAACGGGTCCAGAAGGAACAGAACACAGAAAACATTCACTTTTCTAGTAGCGACGTTAAAAAGAAATCCAGACTATTTGGTGTGGAGACATTTACAGCTCAGGACGACCCTGGGCGCGTCCGAGTAGAGCTGCGCTCCATAGCGTTTCCAGGGGCGGATTTGTTGGAAAAAGATCACCAGGCCTCTCTTCTGAGGAACCTCTGGGTGAGCGCAAACCTCCAGCATTTCCGTTTGCACTACGCAGGGACGTTAGGAAATGAAAGCAGCAGAGATGAGATTAATATTAATAATACATCTTCTTTAACCCAACACATCCTTGCTGTCATTGTAGTATGTAATTAATATAAAAATCGAGAGAGTTTCCTTTGTGCCTGTACTAAGTTTTCCGATTCCAGCGTACCTGCTGCACTCACAGCTCGTCTGCAGCTGCACTGGCTGCATTTCCGGCCCCGCGTGGCTCGCGGCCCGGGGCGGGGCTGTGCAGCGCTCATCCGCAGACCACGCCCACTGCTGGCGAGTCCATTCCGACTCAGAGCGACCCTGTCCGCAAGCACGACTGCCTCCTAGGGTTTCCAACGCTGCAAATCTTCAAGTAAGGCCACTGCCTCGTCTTTCTCCTGCCCAGCGGCCAGTGGCTGCCCTGTGGCAGCTGTGTGCTTTAACCACTGCGCCATCAGAGCTCCTTAGTGCAGCTCTAGATGAGTACAGATTCCTTGTCTATATGGCAAGGTGTACCTATGAGATTGAGTTAATAGCAGGGAAAAGGCTTTATGTAAAGAAAAAGCCGCACAGATCTGGTGGTACAGTAAATGTTGACACTTAGGCTGAAAGGTGTGGAGTCCAAGGGCCTCTGGATTCTCTACTGACTATGCTTTGGATCTTGCTATTTTCCTCTGTGACTTTTTTTTTTTTTTT